CGGGGGGTAGAATTTTATAAAGAACTCCAGGTACTCAGGTTTCATCATTTTGCCTTGCACAATTTATATTTATAATAACGACTAACTTGTATGCTGGCCAAGTAAACATAAGAACTAATATTCTGCTCTCTCCTCAATCTCACTCACTCTCGCTCGAAAAGTATAAATGAGTATTGCTTCATAGTAGTCTAACTGTCGAGTCTAAGAGCATAATAATTTATGTATATCTGTAGTGAAAATACTTTTCAGATTAATGTATTTTTAAATTTTAAAAAACTTATACGCCAACAAAATACTACAAAATCTATATTTTTGGATATATTCTATAATCTGTACAGCAAATGATTTTATAAATACTTATATATATATATATATATATATTTATATCTATTCAACATTTATAACTTTTGATCAGGAATACAGTAATAAAAAACAGTAGGTACAAAACTATATCTGTATTTTCTTTGTTTTGACTCTATTTGTTTATAACGTAAATTTCATTGTAGTATTTATCCTTTAGATATATTTCTTTCGGTGTTAACTATAAATCGAATTCGGATTCAGTCTCTTATAGATCCGCTGTTGCATTTACTTAATAATCCATCTTACTGCTCCGAATAGAAGTTTCGTCGTAGATCATTCGTACTCTCGTGTATTCTTTCAACGATCAATACTTATTTCTTTTGATTGCCAAAATACCTTTAAGCAAGTTAAATTTGAACAAGCACTTAATTTTGAATTACGGAAACATCGTATTTTAATGTTTTGTGTGAAGCTAACAATTATTCTGTAAATGTAAAGTATATGCAATAATACTTTTATTTCGAATAGTTTTTAAAATTTGTTCATTTTAAAACATTTTCTATGCTTTAAAAGATGATTTATCATTTATTCGATAGTTCAGTTATTAAAGCCCTATGTCATAATTATATTAGAATTTATAAAAATTACTAAAATAAAATTAATTAGAAATGTATTATTTAATATAATATTTGCTAATTACATAGAAATAATGTGTAAAATAATACTGTAAAAATAAAGTGGTTAATAATAAAGTGGTTAATAATAAAGTATTATATTAATATTTAAAAAAATATGATGTACATATTTTTATAATAATTATGCGATTAAATTATGAAAATTTTATCATTTGGATGGTACAAAAATTGTAAAATTTCTTCAACAAATCATAACATTAATATTACGTAAAAATTCTATATACATTTATTATGTAAATTGCGAATGGTAAAATTTTCCATCGCACAAATGTAATTAAGATTAGTTAGATAATATTGAAACGCGTTCATATTATTTGTATTAATATAAATACTTTTATTAAAATCTGTAAGTATGAGTCGAAAAAATTATATTCCTATGAAATGTTTTATAAATAGATATAATTATTTAATGTAGTATTATATAAGATAAGAACAGACTAATGATATAATAAAAATAAATTATTGATTAACTAAACAACTTATAGATAATTTACAACAATTACAATTATTATCATAATAATAATTAAATAAATTTTCATTATAAATCTTCATATATATAATTATATAAACAAATGTCTGGAATAAGTTGTGCATTAAAATCATTCCAGATATTCTTATAAATATTTTAATGTTATTCATTAAACCTTGTTATTCATTAAGATAATGTAGAAAAAATATGGGGGATTGTTATTATAAATATAATATATGGATGAAAATGTAGAGCATAAAATCACCTTGATTTTCTTTATATGTAATTATTTTCTTTTAAAGCTACTTCGTAAGGTTCATTTTTAATGATGTAAGTTGTTTAAAAGTTTTAAACAAGTTTTTAAATGTGTGCTCCCAAATGTATATTTCCCGAGACTAAAAAGAATCTGAATTCTAACTACTATGTAATTATTTATTTTATATTTCCAGCCTATAAGTTTCAATATAAATAGTATAGATTATCTTGTTCCTAAGGCGATATTAGAATATGTGGAATTTAAAACTTATAAAGCGTTAAATATTTAAATGTGTAGGTTGCTAAAGTACACGAATTTATAAATTCAGTAAGGTTACTTAACTTCTAAAATGTGGAAAAAACATCAGGAAAACTTTATTGAGTTAAGGTATAAAACGTAGAACCATTTTTATCATCTAAAATATTTAAAATTAAATTTTGCTAATAATAGTACGGAATATTTTATTTCACGATTTTTAAATATTTAACATTAATAAATTAATAAATATTTGTTATATCGATAATTTTATTCATTAATAAAACTATGTATATTGCATCACTCCAATTCCAATCCTTAAATTATGTAAATGATAAGAAAGTAAATATGATATTAGGATAAGCCAATAATACGTTTCAATTTTACTATTATTTTAAGAATATTAAAAATTAAAAATGCCTTAAGTGAAATTCCAAAGAATTTAACTAATATCTTTAGAATACAAAATAGGAAAGAGTAGTCTTACCAATGTGATAATCTAAGGAAACTCATTTATAAATTAATTAAATAATAATATAAATCCAAGTTAATATTTTAATGAAAATAGTACAAAGATATTTAAGTTTTTAACAGTAATTAATACATAGTGCATGATTATAATTGAATTAGTTTACAAACAATATAAATTATAATTATATTTTAAATAGTTACCAGATAAAATGACACTTCAATATTTATTAGAATAAATTACTTACCAAAACTGATGTTAAACTAAAAATTACCATATTTATTCCCATCAAAATCAATTGACGAAAAGAAAATGACGATTCCAGAATATTTAAAACACTGAAATTATAAATTGATATATTTGAAAACTTGAAACTTTATATTAAATTAAATTAATTGTATAAAAATTTATTGAAAGTCTAAAGAAATTTTTAATCTGAATCTATTAATAGTTTTTAACTAAATTATTTTCACTCTCTCTCTCTCTCTCTCTCTCTCTCTCTCTTTTTTTCCCAATTTATATATATATATATACATTATATATATATATATATATATATATTTACTTACACGCATACAAGAATATATATTAGAATTATTTTATTTTAGTTATTCCTTCGATCTAAAGCGATTTAGATTTAGATTTTATTTATTTCTATTTATATAAATCTATTTATATAATTCTATTTTATATAAAAAAAATTTATGTAAATGTACATATATTATGAAAATCTAAAAACTATTTTTATTTAAATAAAATAATTCGTAATTTCTAATCAAGAATATATTTTTCAATATCTTTGACTTCAAGATAACATCTTATAATAATCATTATCATATAATATTATTATAAATTAAGAAAAAGTATATTTAATAAATTACCATGATAGTAAAATAATCATAAAAAAATGAAAATTGACTTGCATGTTTCATTTTATCTCTAAAATTATTTTTTAATGAATTTTACAAAAATAATTAATAAATTAAATATATGGTCACTATAGATTTTTTCTCGATGCCAAATAAATAAAAATCACAAATAAAATCTATAAAAAATATAAATATAAATTTAGTTTGTATAGAAAATATGAAAAATAATTTACTGAACTTTATTGCTTCCTTGTGTAATTTTATAGTTTTCACTATTAAATTGTATGATACATCGTTCTGTTTGGATGGGTGTAATTTATTTTGATCAATGGACGTTAATGACATATATAATCTGAACCTAAAATCTTATATATCAATATAATATATTATTATATATACTTATAATATATAAGTATTATTTAATTGATATTATAAAAAAAAAATTGATAAAACTTAAATAGTAAAACTTAAATAAAGTTATGTGATTTACACATTTTAAGATTTATATTCGATGTTTACTTTTTATTATATTCGAGTTTATTATATACAGTTGTAAAATATTCATTATGAAACAAAAAAATTAATAAAGTACAACGTCACACTAAAGCAAAACATTTCATATGTACGGGACTAGATACATTAACAGATCGGTTTTAAATAAAAGTTCATGTCCAAATTATTCTAAAAATTCGAATTTATTTAAAATATTTTAATTATTAAATTTTTTAATAATTCTTTATAATTTTTAAGTAAAGAAATAAAACCCTAAAGAATACGAGAATTAATTTTAAATTTTATATTAGAAATATTTAAATCTTTATTGAGTAATATTTGTTAAATAATATTAATAAAAACGAGCTAAATAATTTATTATTGCTCTTAATTATTAATTTATTTATATTTTTTAATATCATTTTGGAACATATAATATTATCATCTGGTTTATCATTCAATAACTGAGTAAAACGTTTCATATTCCGGTCAATTTCATTTTACCACATAATTATTTTATTTGTTTTTAAAATATGACTACTGAATTTCTATGATAATATTATTTATCATATTTCTTATTTATTGTATCTACGACATATCATTAATTTTACCTTTATTGTTAAAGTTTAAAAATATCTATTTTAATCTGTACAAAAATATTAAACTCTGATTTAAATAAATTAAATTTTTATTGGAATATAGAAAGACAATTTCATAATGATTTTATCATAATTTAAAGATGGAAATAGCGAGTGAATATTTTTTATATCTTATGTATTATTTATAAGTAATGTTTTGGTTATTTCACTGTACTAAACTTCTTTTTTTACAATATTACTGGTTAAAGTAATGTATAAGAAATAGCGATGATTATCATTGCCAGAATAAAAATTCAATAGATTTTTTAAGCAAAAACTAATAGTAATAATAATATTAACAATAACATGTCTATATATAGTGAGAAATTGTAAAGATAATACGAATTAAAATTAAGAATATTTAATGAAATTTGCTAAATGTCTGCATCATGTTTAAAAAAAGTCCTTGTTTTATTCTTGATAAAATTACGTTTATTTATATAATTTGCGTATTATTATGAACTTTGCTTTAAAAAAGGTATTTTCATACTACATAAATCTAACCTTTAAAGCTTTATTTCCTTTTTCATGATAAATGGCGGGCTGCCTTATTGTAACATATTTACATGATTTATTATTTTATATATGTTAATGTATTATGCACGTGTGATATAAATTAAAGTATCGGACGCAATTTTAAAAATTTTGGAAAGTAGGAAAATTCTTCTAGTAACATCCAAGAACTTAGACATTCGCATGCCTTTATGTCGTATGTCACTAAGCTTTTTATTTCAAGAAGTTAAACATTAATTTTTTAATTAAAAACTATTTTTAAGGATGAAATATAGGAGAATATAAAAATAGCCCCCATTTTCAATGTGAATGAATATGAAAAATAGTATTATGATTACTAGTATTATTATTAAAATTTTAGTATTATGGTTCACCGTTTACTGATTTATTTTAATTGAAAAAGTAGAAGTTATCGAAAAGATTGTACTGTTAAGACAGCAATACAAAATTTAATATAAGCAATATATCTTTGATATATATATATATATATATATATATATATTGATTGTATTTTGCAAATGACCAATTATTATTTTTTGAAACTTCTCCATAAAATTGTATTACAAACTTATGAATTAATACGCGGTAATATTAAATAACGATAACAATAACTTTTTATCCTCTGCGCTATCAATATGATAATTTATGTACAAATCTATAAATTATACGAAATGTGCAAGGGTTCGTTTTAAACGTGCAATTTTATAAAGTCTATCTTGTGCAGGCTTTTTAAATAAACGAATAAACTAATAGAATAATATAATATACAAAACTTGTAAAGGCAAGGACCCATTGCGAAGAATTCAAAGTTTTTAAATGTTACAAAAATAATCAGCACGTCAAAGTACATACTTACTTGACTATAGCAAAGAGTGCCACGCAATATTCAACACTAACTGCATACATGCAGTCGGCAGCACAATTCAAAATTGATGTTATGATGCAACTACAGCAATCGAAAATATAAATTTTATTATGATGTTTTTGCATGTCGATCAAAAACTCTCCATTAAAGACATGAATCCGGGGTCGAGTAACGTTTAATGGATTTATGATATTTAAAAATATGGAAGTGATGGGTATCGTAATGAATCCAATTAGGGCTGTAATCATATAAGCTGAAAGGAATTGTAATATTAAATTACATTCATAAGCTGTGTAAGTGAAATGATAAGTGTTAAAAAAATTCTTTCTCAATTTCATCGTTTACAATCTTTAAGACGACTAATTTATTGCATTATGGTGTTGAGACTTTATTTGATCTCATTTTCAGGTAGAATTTAATTGATGCCACAGTATTTAATAAATAGAATTCAAATCAAAGTAGATTTACATAAAATTTGTCAAAACACGCATTGGTTAATTTTTTAACTGCAATCGTATAATATAAAAACAGATTCATTATACTACTAAAACGATATTTATTTGTTTAGTAGTGGATTTTTGATAACTATTAAATTGAAATTTAGAATTATTTCATTTAGCGTAATAATTTAGCGAGCCAGCATACTCATCATTTAATTTTTTTAGTTTGATTTAAAATAAAATATTGTTAGTTTTTTGTCATTTATATTACTTGGCAATTATTTACTTCTAGATAATGAAAATGTAATCAAATATTTTCTAGCAACTATTCTTAATGTTAAATAGTAAAATGTATAATATTCGTAAGAGCCTATTTAAATAAAATGCCTGACAATAATCATTGTTGTTATTAATAAATTATTTATACTAAGATATCGAGATATGAAAATCAATCGAAGCTTGTAAAAATTTAATTTTCACAAACTGTCTTGTATAATTGTTAAAATTTAAATTTCATTGTACATAAAATATTTATATTATTTTATGATTGAATATTTATTGTACATTATATAAACAATATAACTGGGCTTCACGTATCAATAATAACAATTTAGTTCTTTCTAATTTTTGTAATAATACTGGTATTTCCTTATTTAAATAAAATTGCACAAGAAAAGTGTAAATATTAGTGTAAATATTAGAATTTATAAACTACAGTGTTTCTTTAACATCAAACAAATATAAAATTCAATAAAATCTTCTTATTCATTTATTTATTTCTACGAGTTCATATGGATTTATATAAAAGTTTAATATCTTGTATAATTTTATAGTTATTTAAGTAATTTTGCATAAAAAATCAGTATCTTTCGCACGAAGAATAAGCCATTAAAAATTAAAAATAAATACATACAGATATAAGACAAATTGTATTTGCAATAAATGATTCGGCATGAATGTTGTTTTTCATTAAATAATCCTAAATTAATTAAATAAGATATAAGAATTTTAATCAAATTTAATTTGTTCCTTTTCCCTAATCGGTATCGTCTTTTTCTTTCTATCACTCTTCTTATTCTCTTTAAATTTATGTATATTATATGTATAGAATTAGATTAAATCTATATTGCTCAGCTTAAATGATGCAGAAAAACTAGCGCATTTTCAATATAGTATTATCTCATTTTCTGTAATAAATTTTTTGTTTTAATATTTAAAAATTATATTAACAGCTTTATACTTATATAAAAAATGGTAAGTTTTCTTCCTTTTTCGGCATATTTAATAAGTATGCTTTTTTCGTGCTCGTCATTAAAAATACTCCAATTATAAATTATGCTATCGAGCACCAATTTTAACTGTGAATTATTGAATAATTAGAAATTCAAGGGAAAAAATGGCAATTCAATAAAAAAAGTTATGATCAATTTGGAAAGGAAACTTTTAAGATAGTTCTGCAAAATTTTTTTCTTTTCCTTTCGCATATATTATTTATTTTTAGGCAATAAACAAGGAATTATATTATTCAGTAAAAAATTTTTTTTGAATTTATCGTAATTCTATATTTTATTATGTTTATTATATTTAGTATCTACATTATAAATAATCTCGATATTATAATAAATAATTTAATTTTTTGAATGAAAAATTAATAATATCCGAAATTGCAGTAATTTATATAGTTAATGTAAAAAATATATCACTTTCAAAAATATGAAAATCAATTATTTATTACAAAATCTTCTCAATTTACAATAATAAGAACTAACCTGAGTTTGAGTAGTAATCGAGGTTATGAGTTTTATAAGAATTATAATTATATAAAGAATTATCATTATATGTTCAATTGCGTTGTCGGTATTCAATCCGAGATGTTTCTTTAAGCCGAGCAGCTAGAAATATAAATATAATCGATTTAATATTAAGTATAGGAATTATATTCCTAAATTTTACTATTTTAATTGTGTTTGGATTTATTTCATAATTTCTTATTTGAAACTTTTATTGGAAATTGTCATTTAATTATTCTCTTAATTTCATATTCTTCGCTATGTATTATACATAAATGAAGTAATAACGAATTCATTTTATAGCTTCATTTGGATAAAATCTCAGGATTAGATTTGAACGTAAAACTACAAGTTATACACGCTTTCCTCATGGCTATAATTATTCATATTTCCTTCGCTTACATTGTCATGCTCATTTCGCATTCTCTTTCAATTCACTATAAACAAAATTTTCTGTATGCATGTTTCTTATTCGTCAACCCTGTTTTAATAGATAATTGTTATGATTGTTAAATTTAATAAATTTGAATTGACGTATTAAAACATTATGTCATTTGCCAAATTATTATATAGCAATAGATAAATTAATAAGAAATTAAAATGTATAAAGCATAATTTATGAAAATGTCTGAGTAACTGATATATTTTATATTCATTTTAATATAAAATGATTATATTTAATTATTTATAATTTTTATTTTAATAATTTAATTACGAATACATTTAGAATCTATATTATTAAATACAAATTTCAATCGTTACACTAACAATAATATTGAAAATATTTAAAAAATTAAATCAGGTAAATCTCTATTTTCTGAAAAATTATTGAAAATCATTAATATATTTACGTGGATTATAGATAATGAATAATTTTAAAATAAATAAAATTTAAAACTTATATATATCTAAATAGTTTTTCAAAATTTACAATAATTAATAATAAATTCTTACTTGTGGTACAAACATTGCTAATAAAATTATAAAAAAAAAGGCGCGTTTAATAATATTTTTTATGGGCTTTTCGTACGGCCAAACACCACAATTTATCATAAGAGTTTTATTGATTATAAAATAACGACTATTAAGAATATCCATCTTTCGTAAGTGGTTACAATAATACTGTTATAGATTTATTTTAAAGTCAATCTAAGAAATGAAAAATTAGATTTATAAGCTACTATCTTACAATAATAATTCATTTATTCTATAAATGCTCCAGTCCTTAATAATGTATAAAATAATTACAGCTATAAGATGCTATTACCAGACCAATTTACATATGAAAAAAACTTCCTAACTTACCAAATAAAATTCAGCTATAACAAAATGTATAATTAATATGTTCTTTTAATTGAATAATTTAAATTTTAAATCTTAAAGGAAAGTGTCACTATTAAATTTTTCATAAGGCTTATAGATGACTTATTTCACATATTAGTTCAATTTATATTTTATATAAAAGTCGGATGATACAGTACAATTGATTGAATATTTTACAATACTATTATTATTATTTTATTTTTTTTTTCAATAATGTTAATAAAATTTGTTACAAATAATAATTCTATCAAGTCTATTGAGCGACAGTTTTTATAAATATCCGAGACCAAACCTGTCGTCTGTTTAAATAGGTATTTATGAATGCAATGCAATTATATTGTAAATTTGCATCTATCAAGCATAAAAATTTAATTGCTTAAATGCGTATATCAAAATGAATTAGGAGAAAAAGCTTTTTTGTTCCTATAACATTTTTATAAATTTCTTTCCTGCTATTTTAAAATTCAATATATTTTAACAATATAGTATTACACGAATAAAAGAAGAAAAAAACATTGCTTTTATGTTTGTTTGTTTGTTTTTTTTTTTAATTTTGTTTCAAGAAATAAGTTATCATTAAAACGACTTTTCTTTGATAAGCCATTGTAAAATATCGTGTACGGAACATTCTTTTATATAATTGAATCTTGGTATCTTTAAAGGTGCTTTATTCAAAGTACTTTTTAAGTTTTTCATTTTTTTATTTTAAATTAACTTTTGAAAATGAAGAATATTCTCTTATATATATATATATATATATATATGTATATACATTTTGGTTACGTTTTAAAAACAAAATTTCAATATATTAACGAACATGCAACTACATATTTAAAAGTAATTTTAAGTAAATATTTTTACACGTATATCAAATTAATGTAACTTAAAACTTAAGCTATTACTACAATTTTATTACATTAATTAATTCAAGTTATTAAAGTAATGTTTTATACAACTATTAAGTCAATGTGAGCTATTGAAAAAGTTTACCTTAATATTTTTTATATTTCATCATTACACTTTCAAATGATTACTGTCAATATGTGTAATATGAGTGGAAAAAATATTCTGATTATTATTTCATTTTGCAAAGAAATTTAATTTAGAAATTTTTCAAGATGCTTAAACGTCATACTTATGCGATAGTTTTATATTCTAAAATTCTCGTCTATAAAATCATTTCTTAACATTAACTTGTTGAAAAAAAGATAATACTGAAATTTTTTTTATATAGATATCAAAAGTCATTTAGAGAGGACTTTTTTTTAGAAATGTAATCTCTTAATTTCCGAAAGTATGTCTTAACCAACTGCCGGCATGAATTTAGTTTATTATATGATATTTTAATTAAACTCTTACAGCTTAAAACTCTATTTAAAAACTTATAATTATAATAAAAAAAAAAAAAAAAAAAAAAAAAAAAAAAAAATTCACAACTGAAAGAATCGTTTTGTGGAATAGAAACATTAAGTATCATTAAAAGTTAGAACGTTGTGTGAAATGAAACTGTAAGCGTATATCGAAGAGAAAAATATTAAGTAGACAGACGATAATAAATCCATAAAAATAATTTTATTATTTTATACAGAAAATATAGGACATAAATATCGTCTATAAAGTAGACATAAAAGGAAATAAATAAGTCTACAAAATAATAAATAAAACGCAAGGAAAATACAAAAGTTAAGTATTTAATAGCAATATAATAAAACGTTGGCTAAGTATTAATTCGTTCTTAAAAATTATTCATTTGAAACTTTCGATATTGAATTACAATCGCAATGTGAGTAATTTTCTTGCTGAATTTTAAATTTCTTAAATAGACTTGTATTATTTATCTATATAATTCCAATAAAAAATTTTTTTCCTCTTCTTACCTTATCATATATCATATCACTATTCTATAAAAATCAATAGTAAGCTTAAACATACACTTTTGATTTTGATTTTATAAATTCATTACATTTTAAAGAAATGTCTGCTTAAATGTCACTATCGAACAATATAATTAAACAATGTAAATAAAATTAAAATAAATAAAAGATTACTAAAAACTCTATAAAGTATATAGATTCATATAATTATTATAAACAGGACATTTGCAAGATTTTCTTTGCACATTAATGATCGAGAGTGCCTATGAAGACTTTTAAAATAGCATATTTATATTTTTAATTGAATTTTCTATTAATGAATTTAATGAATATTCATTTGTTGTTTTTTTTTTCTAATTTAAAGAAATATTCAAATATTTACTTTCTAACTAAAATCTAATTAATTAAACATTTATTCTCCTTCAACGTGCATATGTAAAACAAATTTTTTTACCTAGCTATATCATATTTTTACTAAGGTTTTCAGAAGAAATCAATTGAAGAAAAAAAACCAATATCATGTTATATAAGTGAAATTTATTTAATATTGTGAACTATGATTAAAATAAACATTTTTCCACGTTTTTTTACCATTTATGGGTCTTTAGATTAACTCAACTTTTATTATGTTTAAATTTTTTTATCTTCTCGGCCGTTGTTCTTTAGCATAGCATCGGATAGTTGAAATAAATGATTTAGCATAGTATCAACATTTTTTGAATAAAAATATAAATCTCATTTCGTTTCTTTATACTCACAATATGAGTATATCAAAAGAAATATTTTATATTTCTATTAAAGTTTTTATACTTTCAAATCACTTAAGTAATAATATTTAAAAGAAATGTTTTTACAAATTTCGCTCTTTTAGACGCTATAATTCTAATATTTCTTCACTACCACACGTATTGCTATTTTTAATCGAACCTTTCACTAGAGCAAGAAATAAATATGCAGATATAAAAACATTTGAGAAAGTTTATCTCTCGAGCTCCCCAGAACCGAATACTAATCTCATTAGTTGTAGTTTTCATTTCAATTTACCACGTGACGTTATAATTTTTTCACTACTTTTTATAATCCTTAAATATTACTAATATTTTCAATAATATATTTGCTCTTTATTAGTATACTAATAATTTTTACTGTCATGTAAAATCATATTCCATCTTCTTGTAAATTTCTTTAATACATGCACCTTCAATTTCATTCTTAGTATGTATATTTTTAATATAATTTAGTAAGTAAATTACTATTATTATAATATTTTTTAAATGTAATATTAACAAATAATCGTTACATTTTTTGCAGATAATCCTCATCTTCAAAGTATATATATATAAAAACGAGAACTTGCAGTATGAATGGTACTCGTCTCGTAAAAACATATCCTTTAAAAATAATGTTAAACAATAATGTGGAACCTGGCAAGAGTGAATTTTTAAAGTATTACGCATAAAATGAAAATTAACTATGCGGTGGTGGGGGTAAAGGAGGGTAGAAAGAAAAATGAGTTTTTTTAATCAGCATTAAGGTAGATGAGATGAAGCGTTCCAAGCAAAAGATTATATTTGCTTTTGATTCGGTTTGATTCTGAATAAAATAATCTTTTTTGGACAAACACGAAAATATGAGTCAGATCTTTAAAATGCAACAAACCAAATAGTCAAGTGACCAGTATGACGATGGATTATTAATATATTCGTTAATTTAATATAGCTATGTTTGGCTTAATGTCATGATTTATTATTTTACATGTTTTTATATGAAATTGGCGTCTTCTCTAATCCATTAAAAATTTGTCTCTAAGGAATGTTTCAAAGCTCTTATGAATCTGCTGACTAAAATTTACCACAATACACACGTCGCATTGTAATTCAATATTAGGAACAAAACTATCTAGATAGAATTGGTCACTAAAGCCAATCAGACTCTACTTTATAAAATATTATTATGAAACACTGATATGCATCAAAACTTAATGTATTTTATGATTTTTATTTAAAACGGAAAAGATATAATTATCAAGAAGTTGTTCTTAAAATTTTTTATAAATCATTGATTGTTCAAGCTTCAAATTGATGTACTAGAATTTTCTATTGAATTCTTTGAAAAATTCTACTTGGTTTGAGTCGATTGAATCAATGGATTGTCGCAGTTAAAAAATTAACGAAAACCAAATATATTACTATATTATTTAGATATAAATAATAAATATCATTTATTATTTTGTTACAAAACCTTGACAGATTTCCATAGCTAAATTCTCATTTGATATTTCATGCATCGTTTATGTATTATGTAAATTTAAAAAATACTACTATTTTATATAATTCACGATATGCTATTATTAATAAGATTTTTTAGTCATATTTGAAAGTTATAATTTGAAATAACGTTGATTTAAGTGGAAGATGATCGGACGATCAAACAAATTTTTCAACTCTTTAGTAAATAAACGGTATTGGCCTTGTCAAAAAAGATGTTTAGCATACACTAAATCACTATTTAACAAATAATCTAAATTACTAAAAACAATGAATTATAAAAAAATTTCTATAAATCAATTTAAATATACTGCGTGTATGTAGATAATACTTCTTTTTAGTGAAAATTGTTTTTTTAATAATTGCATATTAATTATTAGTCCAAGATAACAAGATGAAACGAATTCACGTCAATGTGTTGTTTTTCTCCGTACTTTACAATATGACGTTTTTATACTTTATAAATTAAGTATGGAACAGTTATATGGCATAGTCACGTTTATTGCAGGAGGAAATGATTGGATTAGATTAAATTAAAACATTACAAGATCAATATACTTAGGGTAAAAGAAAAGCATTTAATTTGCATAGGTTATTGAAAGCACGTAAAAAGCTTGTTAAAACAGTAAAATTA